TGAATGAGTGAGTCAGGATACCAGTGAGAGAAAGTACTCTCCAGTCCACATTTACCTTTGTACTACGTTTACGAGTAAATACTATTTAATCTTATATCCGAGTCCGTCTTATCTTTTCTATGGTTCGACACCATAACAATCCGGTTACAGAGATAGGATCTGTAAGAATATTATGGGACTTTAAAATGCTCACAGCCAGAAAAATCACAGCTAATCGCCCAGAGTTAGTGTTAAAAGACCACAAAAACAGAATGTGCTTTCTTGTTGACATGGCAGACCCTGTAGATTATAACGGACCTTTGAAGATCTTTAATCAGCTATCAAAATACAGGGATCTTGAAGTGGAAATATAGATAAATGTGACAAATGGAAACATCAGTGATACCAGTTATAGTTGGAGCACTCGGATTGATTTTAAAAGTTTCTGATAGACTCGATGAAGAGATTCATGGTAGCTCATGTCTTAAACGTATATGATTTTTTTTCTCAGAAATCATCAGTGGAAGTGTCATGATGCTATTTCTGACCTTAGGTCTCTGGTTGGGACCCGGAAAGAAATGAGTATACACCAGAAATCAAAGGAAATACTAATTCTTCTACTACTGCTACTACTAATACTACTACTACTATTACTACTACTAATACTACTACTACTACTACTGATAATAATTGATTAGTCCTGCTGACTGTAATGTATTTTTCAAGATATTAAAAAAACTATCAAAACATAAAGCTCTTGAAGTAGAAATCTAAAATTTAACACATGAGGTCACTATTACTTACAGCTGTGTGATTGATTAGAAAATGTTCCAGTGGACTCGCTGAGGAGATCGCTCGTAGGCGATACATTAAAGAAATACAAAATATTTTCTTCAGAGGGGCAGCACCCACATTAAGAAGAGCTTTATGTATGTAAAATGTGTGTGATCATAGTTTTTATTTTTTTTACACAAATGATCAGTGGAAAATGGCGATTGAGTTCGAACGTGCGACTACTTCCTTGACTCTCGTTCAAACTGACCAATATGTCTACCGTCTCATTTCTCATGCAAGCCAATCAAAATGTCTACCTCCTCAATTCTGGTACAAACCAAACATCTGTGAATCAAAAATTTGTTTACCAAAGTAACAGAATTCTGAATTAGACAACCTGGAAAATGGTGGTACGCCAGAAAGCTAGCCAAACCTTCATAATCCGTGTAACGAAAGTAACACGGGGAATATGGAGAAGAAAAGATTCGAATATAGAAAATATGGAGGCTAACGAACTTCAAAAGAAAATTTATTAAATAATACACGTTCCGAGATTGTAGAAAATATTAACACTGAACTGAATAATGAATGACAATCAGGGAAAATATTAACACTGAACTGAATAATGAATGACAAAATAACTGAAAAATAAAAACCGTGTGGGTTTATTAGACATTAAATACCATCATTCATCATCCTCCATAGTTTACCTTGACTTTCAGTTCGTCTGAAGTATATTTATGTGCGTTCTTAAATAAATAAAAAAACGAAAAACTAACTAATGTTTTTAATTCTTTTTACACTATTTATATTCGGACTATTGCCCTCATCTTCGTTGTTGCTTTCATAAAGTTTCGACTATTGTCCACGCCTCCGTTCTTCCTCAGATGTATATCGGTATGGGTAACATCTAATTCGTATTTATATTCATTTATATCCCTAGACGAGGGCAGTGGGACCAGAAAAGTCTATCACTGAAGAATAAATAAAGAGTTCAGTTCAGAATTTTCAACGTCTTTTCTGTTTTCGGAATTTTCTTTCTTCATATTTATTTGTGCTGCCAATAGAACTTAAAGAATATGGAAAAGGAAAATTCAGAACAGAGAAAATATGGAGGCAAATAAACTAAGGAAATTCGAAAGAAAATCATTTAAAAATGTTCTGAGATGCGGAGTTGGAAGAAAATATTAACATTGAACTGAATAATGAATGATAATTAGGGAGAATGTTAGAATCGATAAGACAGGGAGTGTAAGATATAAAAGCTGAGAGACGGAATTATGATGAAACCGAAAGACTAATAAAAAGAAATATAGTTGTAAATATTCACGAGAAATATCAGAAAAAATAATTTTGTTAAAAGTTGCTGAAATGAAACAAATATTTATTAGGGAACTAACAAATATTCAACAAAAGAGAAAACTGTACAATAGGACATGGTAAAAAAAAACAACGTGATAAAAAAAACATTTTTAGAATTGCGTATAAAGTAATTAAGTAAACAGTGCGAAATATCAGCATGAATGTAAGAATTTGAAAGAAAGTCAGGTATTTTTCTGTAAGAGACATTATGGCATCGTAGCAAAACCATAGGCCAACGAATTATGGCATCGTAGCAAAATCATAGGCCAACGAATTTCTAACAGAAGAAATAAGAATTATTGAAAAGTGAAACAGATAAAATTAGCTAAAGAAATAAAATTATAAATTAGAATGATTTTCAAATGAAACGTAAATATGAATTATATAGGCGTATATACGCGCGTATAAGCTGAATTAATGTGTAGTGCAACCCCTGATTTTATTTGCATGAAGTTTAAATCACCTGTGTATAGTGCAACCCTTGATTTTATTTGGATGAATTTTAGATCACCTGTGTATAGTGCAACTCCTGATTTTAATCGCATGAATTTTAATTCACCTGTGTATAGTGCAACCCCTGATTTTAATCGCACGAATTTTAATTCACCTGTGTATAGTGCAAACCCTGATTTTATTTGTATGAATTTTAATTCACCTGTGTATAGTGCAAACCCTGATTTTATTTGCATGAATTTTAATTCACCTGTGTATAGTGCAAACCTGATTTTATTTGCATGAATTTTAATTCACCTGTGTATAGTTCAAACACTGATTTTATTCGCATGAAATTTAAATCACCTGTGTATAGTGCAACCCTTGATTTTATTTGGATGAATTTTAATTCACCTGTGTATAGTGCAACCCTGAATTTTAATTTTTTAATTCACCTGTGTATAGTGAATTTTATTTGCATTCAAATCACCTGTGTATAGTGCAACCCTGATTTTATTTGCAGTGTATAGTGCAAACCCTGATTTTATTTGCATGAATTTTAATTCACCTGAAGTTTAAATTTTATTCGCATGAATTTTAATTCACCTGTGTATAGTGCAAACCCTGATTTTATTTGCATGAATTTTAAATCACCTGTGTATAGTGCAACCCTGATTTTATTTGCATGAATTTTAATTCACCTGTGTATAGTGCAAACCCTGATTTTATTTGCATGAATTTTAAATCACCTGTTTATAGTGCAACTCCTGATTTTATTCGCATGAATTTTAATTCACTTGTGTATAGTGCAACCGGTTATCGAAAATGCTTGATTTTTAACCTCTTCAAAAAAGTAGCTGGGTATAGTGCGACCCCACCCCTATGTTTTGCATTAAAAAAATATACCCGAGTGTATACGGTAACCTATGTTCATAAGAACTTTTTGAAATAACTTCTTATTGTTATTGTTAACCCAAAAGAAACCAATACATCCTGCTCGTTGATTTGGATGTACGGATGGAATAATCGATAACAGCTCAGAATGGGAAAGTGGAGAGCAGAGTTCGAATTTCTAGTCGAATATTATTCACTTACGTGCAAATACTCTTGGGAAACGTTTGCATCCATTTCCTCCCCCCCTTAGCTATAAATTAAAATTAATTTGTATATAGAAAAATTATTGTTATCGCCAAGAAATGTTTGATGCGCATTATACACTCGCAAAAAAAGAGAGAATTCTTACATTCGAAAATATGTTTCGGCTTTAAATAACTTACAGTGGGTTGATAAACCGTAAATATCAAAACCCGACCAATGTGGCGTGTCAACATATTCGTGTTGTTTATTCCTTTCGAGGTTGAGGAATTATGGGCAGAATTCTAATTAGTTATTCAAAAAATTCTTTGATAATCAGGAAGGCCCTTGTTGATCATCTTACCAAAGAGACCCTTCCAACTGACAAACAGTATAAATATTGCTTTCAACGAGAGCAAAACCTTTAAAATGGTTGTCGCATGTAAACCGAAGAAAAAAATAATGATATAATCAAGACGTTGAGATCCTCACTGCGTCAACCGGAAGGACAGGAAGGAAAGCCCCATAAAAACTGAAAAGAGCGGGAACAGTTATAGAACGCTAGAAACTTATTTTCATAAAAACTGGGAGGAAAGAGAGAACAGCTGTAAAAAAGGGGAAACTTTTTTTCATAAAAACTGGAAAGAAAAAGAACAGATATAGAACATGAGATATTTATTTTCATAAAAAACTGGAAAGAGAGAGAACAGTTATAGAATAGGAGAAACTTATTTTCATAAAAACTGGAAAGAGAGAGAACAGTTATAGAAAAGGAGAAACTCTTTTTTATAAAAACTGGAAAGAGAGAGAACAGTTATAGAATAGGAGAAACTTATTTTCATAAAAACTGGAAAGAGAGAGAACAGTTATAGAATAGGAGAAACTTATTTTCATAAAAACTGGAAAGAGAGGGAACAGTTATAGAATAGGAGAAACTTATTTTCATAAAAACTGGAAAGAGAGGGAACAGTTATAGAATAGGAGAAACTTATTTTCATAAAAACTGGAAAGAGAGAGAACAGTTATAAAACACGAGAAACCTATGTTCATGAAAAAATAGATTTAACCAAAAGATTTCTTATAAGTTTCAACCGAAGATAGGGCTGCTCAGTAAAAGAATCTTTCCTCATAAGGAAACATCTAATATTAACAAGAACAGTTATCATGGCTGGTAAAAGGATAACGGTTAAGATTGGCATAACTCCATTAATTCGGAAGAGATGAAACAAAATATCGGATTAAAAGTAAAATGAATCGAGTGACATGAAAAAGAAAGGACATTTTATGGTAAATAAAAGCATTTTCACAATTAACAAGGAAAGCTTCTCTAGAGAAATAGGAAGATCAATAAAACGTATAGAAAAAAAAAACATCATCAAATGAAGAAATCCGGTATAAGATATGGCGGAATGAAAATAATTGTTAGTCTAGCGCAGAATGAACTCAGGACACAGATAAAGAGAGATGGAGGAATAGAAACAGAATAAGCAGCAATTTAAAGGAGTACAAAAAGCTACCTCTCTCTCTCACAGACACACACGATAATACACACACTCTCTCTTTATCTCATTTTTCTCTCTTTCTCGTTCTATTCACTCTTTTTTTTTCTATCTCTCTTCCTCTATCTCTGGCTCTCTATTTTTCCCAAAAAGAAATAAATGCTAATCCTCTGGGATAGATAAGGTAACCAAATCCTTGTTAATGTTCCTTTACCAATACACAGACTATTAGCCGATCTCTCTCTCTCTCTCTCTCTCTATATATATATATATATATATATATATATATATATATATATATATATATATATATATAAAATATTAGTGGTAAATATACACATACATATGCAAAATATATAAATATATATACATAGGTGTATACACATATATGTATATTTTTTGAATAAAAATTCCGAGAGGATAGAATCCAGGTAGAACTCAATGTCCAGGACAGAGTAAGGATATAATAAAAAGGCTTAAACACTAATATTCCATGGTCATAATTGATTCCATTGGAATCGTAAATACGATTCAATTCATCAGACCTACAAATTCAAAAAAAAAAAAAAAAACAGAAAAAACAACTCCGGAAATAAAAAAATAGAATTTAGAGTGAGTGTAAGTATGAGAGTGTGGGCCATGCTGCTAGTTTATTATAAAGCCAGCATTCAGAATTTATGATACAAACCAGAAACATCCATTTTACTTCAATGACAAGCTTATAAAATCGGGTGCTACACGCCCCCTCACCGCCAACACAACGAAATGCAGACTATGAAATTTTTTCGTCGATTTTTTTTTAAAAACAACTAATTTATTACGGATCATTTTTAAAACATAACATTTTAAAACCGTATAAAAGTAATTTATTAAGGATCATTTTTAAAACATGACTTTTTAAAACCGAATAAAAGTAATTTATTAACGACCATGTTTTAAAACGTAACTTTTTAAAACAGAATTTTATTAAGGATCATTTTTTTTTTACTAAACTTATCAAATACAAATAAATGACTTTCTTGTGGAAATTTTTCTTTTCCACTTTGACTAAGAATTTCAATTTTCGGTTTGACGAAAAGTTTAAAAATTAGAAAACAACCAACCAAATCGGCTGTTTTAACTAAAAAATCACGAAGACAAAAAGGCAAACTTTTCAAATCCCTACGACACAAAGCTGATCTAAGAGATGGGGACACTATGACAACCGACACCGGTTGGTCGGTGTTGAGTCACCGGAAGTGATCAAATTGAACAAACAAATTAATATACAGTGTAACCCGGATATAAGAGACCCGGATATAAGAGAAACCCGAATATAAGAGAAACCCGGATATAAGAGAGATTTTCTCTGGTCCCAAATTAGAGACTGTGTTAATGTATATAAAATAGACCAAACCCGGATATAAGAGACTTCTTCTCTGGTCCCGACAACTCTCTTATATCCGGGTTTCACTGTATAGGATAATGCTTTGAAGCATTTACATTTTAATATAGTGAGCCTTCTTCTTAATAACAGCGGGCAATCCATTATCCATGGATATTGTTATATTGTTTTTACTTCAGCAGATTGTACCCTTGTTTGACGTCCAAAGTTTAAAATTTGACAAAAATTTCTCAAAACAGATTCGAGTTATTGAGTTTCATTTTATTTGCATGACTTCAAACGGACTGTATATATCCGCTTGCTTTAAGATTTTGTGTATTTCACTGTTTCAACACCAGTTCCCCACCGGTTCCTGTGTGAGTTAAGCAACGTTGAGTCTGATCATTACTTAGATAGGTAACCACTTAGGAATAACAGGTGATGTAAGCTTGGATGGTGCACTAGATAATGGCTCGGAATGGGTAATCGAAGAGCCGAGTTCCAATTCCCTTTATACATTTAGGGGCAAATAAGCTTGGGAACAGTATGAGTCCATCTCTTTTCCCCACGGTTATGGGGAATTAGTAAGATTAGTATCACTAAATCATTATTATCTCCCCCCCAACTCCTCCAAATGTTCTTAGAATCTAAAGTATGTTATTTAGATAACCTACAAAGGATTGGTAAGCCGTCGAAAATGAATTAATAAAGAAAACAACACCAATGAGCTTTCCTCTTTGGCATCTCGACTTCAGTCAGTTTCCCGTTACCGTGAGAGCTTTCTTGTTCTTTTTCCATAAATATTTTCTTTTTAACTGATTTGTTGAACTTTCATCTTTCATTGGGGGGGGGTTTCATTGTTAAAAGTTGTAATTTTTATTTCTCCCTCTCCCCCACAGACAAGTTATACGTATGGAAACTAGTTGGGACTTGATAGAGACCCTGAGGCATTATGGTAACTGCAACAAGAATGTTAAATATGAATTCTGTTGTTTTTGTGTAAACAATACTGCTATATGTTTGCTTCAGTAATTGCTACTAGCTAAGTTTAAGATGAGACAGACTGAAGACCAGCCTTCCCTTAACTTCTCTTTTGTCCTTGTACCATATTTCTGCATTTTCAAAATAAATATTTCTTTCATCTTTAATACCTCAATGTTACGACTTTATGTGTGGTTCTGGATTCGCATCTATGTCTTATTATTTTACTTTAGAGATGTCTAGTTTTAACCGTAAGTTCTCTGGTAACTGTTCTTCTCTCGTACTTCTCGCTTGTGGAACTCTCTTCAGGCTTCTTGCTTTCCATTCAACTTTGATGGTTAAAAATGTTAATGCCATCTTAAACTATCATCTTCTGTGTCGTTGGATATCGTTCTTTTATTGTCCTCTGTCCTTAATATTTTTTTTTTTGCAGATTCTTTCACTCTCAGTAACCTTTTGCGCCTTAGTGGCTTTATCTCCTTGCTTGGGGTGAAATGATTAAAAACAAAACAAGCGATGGCGGGAAACTCGGTCGTATATTACACCACAGATAATTTGCGTTTTAGTCAATGCGTTTTAGTCTAAATGAATTATCTCCTCTTTTCTTAATAAAACATTATTATCCAGATCAGAATTGCGATCACGAATATTTAATTAAAGAGACATTTAAAATAAAATCAGAGTTAAATTAAAAAAATAACAATAAAAAAGAGGTATTCATATGACAAACGTGAATCTTGTTTTGTGTTGCCAATCCAAATTTAAATAAGAAAAAAAAATTCCAATGACGCCGTAGGTTCATTGAAACGTATAAAAACCAGAGTTTTTCAAATTATCATCTACATAAGGTTCTGTCAGATTCACGTCCAAATTTACATTAATCCCGTTGGATGGTATGCCCATCTATACCATAGGGAAATAGCATATGGACAAAATCGTCACTCATTCTAGAAGGTGGTGGTCGTACTCTGGAACATACCAGATACATCTGGCTTACGTGACATTGAAACACTGGTTTTCTTACGATCAGCGAAGTTAAGCAACGTCGAGCCTGATCAGTACATAGATAACCGCTTGAAATGCCAGGTGTTGTAAGCTTGGATGTGCGTGTGGTGTAATTGATAATGGCTTTCCGTTGGGTTCGTTATAATTATTTACGGAGAAATACCATTGGGAAAAAGATATGAATCCATTTCTTCTCCGCCCCCACCCCGCTCGCCCATTTACGGTTTAATTATTAAAACTTCTCATCAGTCAGTTATGTGCCATGCATGATACACGCTTAGGCGATCATCTCTCTTTCGATACATGACTGACGATGCAGGTTTTTTTTTAGCAGTAGGTTGCCATTTCTTTCTGCGGTAGACCATTTGCCATCCAAGGCTATAGAACCCGGTCTGTCCTGCTATTTACCCATACCTGGTTGGGAGAAGAAGAGGATTCATACCTTTCCCAAGGGTATTATCACGTAATGTAATCTGAATGGAATTCGAACTCGGCTCTCCGAATTCTCAATCCGAGCCGCTATCCATTACTCCACCGTGCCTCCAAAACTTGTCGCAATAAAACCATTATCATGTCCAAAAAATAAAATTTCGTACAAAATATTCAAATTTCAGCATTAAAAATCCCATAGAGGTGCTAAGCATAAATAACAACAACAACAACAAAAGCAACTGACAGCACCCGCAAAGCTGCAAGAATTTTTTATAAAATGTCTCGAATATTGCCCAAGGCTTGAGAGCAACTGAAGGAAGAGCTTACAGTCGTAATGGTTATGAGGAATGAAAGGTGTAGTGTGAATGGAAGAGAGGGAGTTAGGAAGTGAGGATCATGAGACTAAGGAGGATAGACAACGATTGGCATTTGATTTGGAGAGGTTAAAGTTGTAATGTGAATGTTACTGTTAAAATGCTTATCATATTTGAGGTGTGTGATATGAATGAAATAGACGCTGACGATTATGAGGATAGGGAGGATAGATGACGATTGGTTTAGTTTGGTTTGCTTTTTTTTACGTTATATCAACCTAAATGGGCTATTTTTTTTTAAGCATTTCACCCCAAGCAAGGCGGGAAGCCACTAGGACGCAAGGGGTTACAGAAAATTTAGAGCAAGATCAGATAGGAGTAATAGAAGAAAGGATGAGGGTAGTGGATAGATCAAGGCAATTGGAGATGTCGATTGACATTACACTTGAATAGCTGGAGATTATAGCTCACAGGGAAACAGGAATAGGGAATGGAGTTCCACAGGCGAGAGGTGCGAGATATGAAGCTATTAGAGTAGAAGAGACGGCTATATTTAGGAGTTTCGACAGTGAAGGGGCGAGAGCGGGATGCCAGCCTCGTGAGGCGCTGGAACTCATGACGTCTGGGAACCAGCGAATGCAGCTCATCGGAGCAATTTCCATGAAAGTATTTGTAGAACAGACAGAGGGAGGCGACGGCGCGTCTGTGAGAAAAGTGACCGAAGACGAGAAGCCAGGACAGGGCCAACCACATTGCATATCCGCCTCTGGAGCCTATCAAGAACCCCGAGGCAGACAGAAGGGGCACCAGACCATATATGGCAGCAATTCTCCATGCAAGGGCGAATTGTGGATTTAATGCCGACAAGATTCTTATTGCTGCTAATATTTTTTTTTCTTTTCCAAAAATGTATTGCTGGCAAAAATGTATTACTGGTAATAATTTTCCTTCAAAATTCATTGCTGGTAATAACTTTTACAAAAATTTGCTAAAAAAATTCATTTAATTAGTATTAATTAGTATTAAATTAATTAGTATTAAATTAATTAGTATTAATTAGTATTAAAAATGCATTGCTAGTATTAAAACCTATTTTTACACTTTCATACTGTTTTGATCCCACTTTGGGGGTTAACTATTTACCCATAGCTGGGACCCTAACAGGTGCGACCACCCAGGACGAGATGTGCATTGACCCTTGACTGGGAGAAGTTAAAATTGGATTGTGATGGTTATTGTTAAAATGCTTATCATGATTTTGGTGTTTGAAACTAATGAAATACAGGGTGGTAGACGCTTAAGTTTGTGAGGATAATGAACAGTTGTATGGTTTGAACTGAGAACCACTGCCAATTCCTCAACTGATAAAGCAGGATTTTCTTCAAGGGCTGCTTCAAGAAGCTTTTCATCAAACTCAACTGGACGTCCAGTTTGATCTTCATCTTCAAGGTTGAAATCTCCACCTCTGAATTTTGCAAACCATCTTCTGCAAGTTCTTTCATTCACACATTCCTCTCCATAAACTGAGTGAATGTTTCTAGCCGCTTCGGCTGCTGAGTTTCCTTTCTTGAACTCATAAAGCATTATGTGCCTCAAACGATTCTTGGGTACTTCCATGTTAGCAGATTTTTAATCAAACAAAATGTTATTTTATTTTTCTCTGAAATAAAATTTGATCAGTTTAAATGCATCTAAACATAAAAATAATGTTCAGCTCCATTAGACATTATAAAATACTCTTTAAATTTCGTTTATTTTAACAAAAAGTTAAAATTCGGACAGAACTTATGGGATGACTAGTAGATTACTATTAAAATGGTTATGATGATAGGTGTGTGTATTATGAAGAAAATGAAAGGTGGTAGGAAGAGAAGAGTAGACGACGATTGACCTTTGACATGAAGCGGGCAAGATCAAAATGTCAGTGGGAGTATATACGCGAGGATCTGTTTACAAAAAGTGACGGTCTTGACGAGACCACAGTTTACGTGGAACTTTTTTGTTAAATTCAGATCACGGGGGAAATAAAGTGTTTTCAACTCTGTGGAAGTAACCTATCATATCCTAACAGTAAAAGCAGAACTGTCGGAACTAAAGGGTACAGCAAACGTGAGGATTTTCAACTTAAATAGTAACCGTCTTATAAAAAAAAAAAATGAAATTGCGCGAATTTGAAGTGAAGAATTTGATAAACTCTACAAATATAAACATCTTGAAATTGAAATTACGCGACTGTGGTGTTAAAATGCAAGCAGTATTCCATTGATCGACACATGAAGAAGATATTGAAAAAGACGTTTATCTGATTTGCTAAAAAAAAAAAAAGAAAAGAAAGCTTGTTAAAGGGAAATACTCAACATAATTCACAAAGATCTTTCTATGAATCATAATCGATAAATACGTAAGAAAAAAAAACAATCACCTTCATTGATGTTAAGTGTTGGATGAAAAATGAGGTCAGTGATTGTATCAAACAATCAATCAAAAGAAATGAAAAGAAAAACAAAACAATAACAATCTGCGTGTTTATAGTGATTTTCTAAGCCCGGCTTAGATGTGGCACAAGGCCGAAAGTATGGGGAACCCAGTGAGTATCGAATTCACTACTCAGTCGTAATTGATCTAGCAAGACAAGCTTTCTAACCATTACACCACGTCGAGGTGCCTAGTGATTTTCTAAGTCCGGCTTAGATGTGGCACAAGGCCGAAAGTATGGGGAACCCAGTAAGGATCGAACTCATTACTTAGTCGTAATTGATCTTGCAAGACAAGCTTTTTAACCATTACACCACGTCGAAGTGCCCTAATCTGCGTGTTTATATGTACAATCATGAGACTTGTCGAACAGGATCGGGGACAATAACTGTTCTTCAAACAATCGAAAGGGACTCAACGATCTTATATAATTTTATCTTCCCTCTTTCTTTCTTTCTTTCCTTCTTTCTTTCTTTCTTTCTTTCTTAATATCACTCCGTTTAATCCTCCTTCCTTTTCCATAATATCACACTTTCTCTTATTCTTTCTTTTGTTCTTATCTTTTTTCTTTCTTTCTTTCTTTACTTCTTTCTTTCTCTCTTCTTTGATATCACTTCGTTTAATACTTCTTTATTTTCCGTAATATTACATTTTTTTTCTTTCTTATCGCTTTGTCTTATCATTTTTCCTTTTATATTATATTACTTATTTCTTTCTTTTTTATTCACTCCACATTTTTTAATTCTTCCTAATATTACATTTACTTTTCCTTCTAAAATCTCTGCAAGGTTCTTTTTTCTACAACCTGTATTGTTTGTTTGTTTGGTTGTTTGTTTGTTTCTTTCTTTCTTTCTTTCTTTCTTTCTTTCTTTCTTTCTTTCTTTCTTTCTTAATATCCCTCCATTTCGTTTTTCTTTCTTTTCCTTACTATAATTATTTCTTCATGCTTTTTTTTTCTTTTAGTAGTTTCTTACTCTTATCCTTCTTATTGTTTGCTATTTCTCTATTTTCTTTTTCCTTTCAGTTTTTTTTAGAATTGCTCAACTTATTTTTCTTTCTTCTTTCTTTCTTTCTTTCTTCAACCGTTTTTATATTCTCATTTCTAGCACTATCTTCATTTTCTTTTTCTTTCATTCGTATTTTCCTATTGTTTATTCGTCAACTTCTTTTATTGTGTTGCTGTTGTCCATTGTTTTTTCTTTCTTCCTTCATCGCTTTTCTCTCAATCTTTTTGTGATCGTTTTCTTCTTTTCTATCTTCAACCATTTTTGTATTCTATTTACCTACACATGTTTTCACTTTCTTTTTTCATTTATTCAAATTGTTTCCTCAGTTTTCTTATAATTTCTGCTTCCCCCTCGTTTTCTTCTTCTTCTTCTTGTTCTTGTTCTTGTTCTTCTTCTTCTTCTTCTTCTTCTTCTTCTTCTTCTTCTTCTTCTTCTTCGTTGATTTACTTCTTTTGGGATACAGGTTCGATTCCTGTCAGAGGACGAATATTTTCTATGAAAATTTCTCGGACATTCAGGCCGGTAAATGTTATTAATACTGTTTATTATAAACAGGGCATTTGTATCTGTAAAAAGATTGTATAAACATAAAAATGTCTTAAAATAATTGTCGGACTTTGTCCATTTCATAATGCGTGATGATATTGTTTACATTTGGCTACGCATTGAGCAGATATGAATGTTCGTGAGAGATTCATGGAAGATTGTAGTTTAAAAGCAATAAAATCGACCTTGCTAACCGAACGCTCCTCTGTGGCCCAATCGGTTAAGGCACGTCAGGCTATATGACGGTTCCGTATAGGATACAGGTTCGACTCCTGTCGGAGGACTAATATTTTCTATGAAAATTTCTCGGACATTCAGGCCGGTAAATGTTATTAATACTGTTTATTATAAAACAGAGCATTTACTTAAATATTTGTTTCTATAAAAACAATGTATAAACATAAAAATGTCTTAAAATAATTCTCGGGCTTTGTCCATTTCATAATATATATATATATTCGTGGTGTAGTATATTGGTGTTTTCAACAAGTATTTTCCAATATTGTGAAGGTGGACAGGAATATGTTTTTAGATGTTGTGCAATAGAACTTATCCGACAGATGACGTACCAGACGTCTTGATAATGTTGTGGTTGTCAAGCCAATTTATGTACTACAATCTCCTAAAGAGCATTTAACCTGATATATATATATATATATATATATATATATATATATATATATATATATATATATATATATATATATATATATATATATATATATTCAAAACACTAGTAGAGTTAAGAGGTCGTTCCACGCTCCTGAAAACCTCTATTATCCCGATCTGATGTATTGCTGCCGGATGTAGTTTATCGTCATACCCAGGAGGATTTCGTTAAATGAAAATAAAGGAAAAGCAAATATTTCTTTTAAAGCACTTCAGGTATGTTGGTTCGCAAACATTGAATAATGAGAAAACCGCCATAATTAAGAATGTATTAATGAAAAGAGAAGGCTCCGGTAATCACTAATATTCTTGTCGGCATTTTTAATTACCACTAAAATATTTACATACTTACGTGTGTGGCATCCGTCGATATCGAGAAAACTTGAATCTGCGCCCAAAGTGTTATGGATCAGCTGTTGATATCGCTGCAGCTTCTATTATGGCTGCACAGGCCTACACAGGTGCGACAGTCTCGATTGTAATGAATGTATGTGAAGACGTTCTTCTCCCCCGATGTCATCTTCTTGTTTTCTTTCCGACGTGCACACTTCTCCTCTCTGGCAAGCCATCGTTTTCTCTTGTCTTCGCTCGAGCCCTCGGTGTAAATCCAGCGTGAGCGATCATTGGTGACGACTTTCCTCCTCTCGATGTCCATGTCAATCGCCTTCATGTCCGCTTTGCAGACGTCGTTGAAGCGAAGACGAGGTCGTCCTCGTTCTCCGTTTCCGGTGGCCAGTTCTCCGCACAGAAGGACGTTCAGAATCCTTCCATCCGACATACGCTTTACATGACCAAGCCAGCAGAGACGGCGCTGTTGGAGAAGGGCCTATAGGCATGGTTAATTGGGCACGGGTAAGAACTACAGCATCGTCGAGTCGATCGAACCAATTATCCTGATGATTCGTTAGGTAAACATAGGTAGATAGCCTCTGACACGTTATAGTTTGTTAGTTTATATATATATATATATATATATATATATATATATATATATATATATATATATATATATATATATATATAATATTAGTGGTAAATATACATACGTATGCGAAATATATAATATTGTTATATTGTTATGTGATATGTATATTTTTAGAATAAAAATTCCAAGAGGAAGAATCCAGGTAGAACTCAATGTCCAGGACAGAGTAAGGATATAATAAAAAGGCTTAAACTCTAATATTCCATGGTCATAATTTATTCCATTGGAATCGTAAATACGATCCAATTCATCAGACCTACAAATTCAAAAGGAAAACAGAAAAAAAAACAACTCCGGAAATAAAAACAGAATTTAGAGAGAGTGTAAGTATGAGGAGGGGGGAGATAAGGGGTTTAAGTAAGAGAAAAATGAATGATGTCAGATGTATAAGGATATAATGTATCCTTATACATCTGACATCATTCTTTTTTCTCTTACTTAAACCCTTCCACCCACCTCTCCTAAAATTCTCTCTGTTAAGGTTTCATCTCCTCCTCCTCATACTTACACTCTCTCTAAATTCTGTTTTAATTTCCGGAGATGTTTTTTTCTGTTTTCCTTTTGAATTTGTAGGTCTGATGAATTGATCGTATTTACGATTCCAATGGAATAAATTATGACCATGGAATATTAGTGTTTGAGCCTTTTTTTAATATATATATATATATATATATATATATATATATATATATATATATATATATATATATATATTTCGTAGTGTAGTATATTGGTGTTGTGAACAAGTATTTTCCTGTATTGTGAAGGTGGACAGGAATTTTTTTTTCCTCCTCTCAATGTTCATGTCCACTTTGCAGACGTCCTTGAAGCGAAGACGAGGTCGTCCTCGTTCTCCGTTTCCGGTGACCAGTTCTCGGTACAGAAGGAGCTTCGGAATCCTCCCATCCGACATACGCTGTACATGTCCTTCGCGTAGAATTCGTTTCTTCAATATCCTCGTCGCCACTGTTATGGTCCAGGTTAGAACCAAGAAAGAACAACACGAACACAAGTGTAGAAATAACGAAGGTATATTACGCGAAATAATAATACAAGATGTGGAAGGTGTTAGTATGACTGTCAGTCTGGTTTGGAGTGAACTACTATCGGCTGGACTCCATTCGACCCTCTCTTTTGAGAGTCGTATTATACATAGTGTTAGGAAGAGTTGATTCTATAGTTATAGGTAAGGGCCCATATTTTAGTACCATTCCATTTATTTCTGCCTCGATAGTAAGACTGATCAGTCCTACAAGATGAAAATGTCCGCCAATGTCCAAAATGACCTCAAGTCCGTTGTTGACGGACACAAAATATGGCTTGTTAATTTTAACGCCTCCATAACTAAATTTCTCTCCATAAAGGAATGAGAGAACCCTCTCTGACTTCCATCAGAATGGCTGATGCTAACCTCAAAGAAAGTGACACGTTGCACTGGTTAAGATTGACAGTTGAGATTAAGTGAAAAGATTATATTAAATCTATTGCTAGGTCAGCTGCTAAGAAATTTGGCTCATTGTGTCATGCGAGACAATTTTTCTCTCTAGAATCTACCTTACATATCTATAAGTCTGCTATTCACTCATGCTTAGAATATTGTTGCCTCATAGGATCCGGTACCCCTGCTATTGACCTTGAGCTCCTTGATAAAACCCCGAAAAAGAATCAGCAATATTATTGGTCCTGATCTGGCAGCTAGGCTTCAGTCACTTTCCCACCGCCGTAAGGTTGTCTCTCCGGGTCCTTTCTCTAAAAACTTTCATGGGAATTGTTCGGATGAACTCTTCGCTATTTTACCTAATTTAAGCACAGCACTAGACTGGCGTCGAGATCACATCAATTTACAATTGAGCTGGCTAGATGTAGCCGTAGGTTCTATGCTAACAGTGTCTTTTCTCGCACTTCTCGCTTTTGGAACTTCCTTCCGGCTCTATGCCTTCCAGCCAACTTTAATTTTAAAAAATTTAAATGGAATGCCAATCGCTATCTACTGTCCTCCTGATTACTCTTTTCTCTTCCCGCTCATTATTAATGTTTCTCTGCCTAATTCTTTCACAGCCTGTAACCTCTTGTGTCTTAGTGGCTTTACTGCCATGCATGGGGTGATATCGATTTAAAAATATCAAAATGTTTTTTTATGCGTGTAAAGTTTATGCGGGCGTGGTGTATTGACCACAATCCAACTTAAAGCACCTGGTTTTGACTGCTGGATAAAAATTGTTTTGGTCTGGTTTGGTTTGTTTTGTTTTACGGCATATCAATCTCAATGGGTCATTTAATGCCGACAACTTTTTTTTCCTTTTAATATTTTTGTTTTGTCAAAAATCTATTTCTGGTAATATTTTTTTTCAAAAACGTAATGGTAATATTTCTTTTTTCAAAAACCTATTGCTGCTGGCAATATTTTTTTTTCAAAAAACCTATCGCTGCTGGTAATTTTTTTTTCAAAAATGTATTGCTGCTGGTAATAGTTTTTTTGTTTTTTTTTTACAAAGTATTTCTCGAATTAAAACCTGTTTTTACACTTTTCAGTTTCGGTGTTAAGTATTTGCCCATAGCTGGAACCCTAACAGGTGCTACCACCCCGGGTTAGGATGGATCTGGGAACACCAGCAATTAAGAGGTGGTTCCACGCTTCTCAAAACCTCTTGATCAGAGGCCTTGCTCCTGGACGTAGTTTATCATCTTGCGGATGCAGTTTATCGTCATACCCAGCGTGATTTGCACAGTGATGTTCGAGATAAGCAAATGAAAGAGATCTACATAAATACTGAATTCGATCGCCGCTAAGCGATTAAAAAACTTCTAAATAAAAACCTCTGTTCGTTGTCCAATATATTACATGGGCGTGGTTGAGTAAATAAAAGCGGCAATGAAACCAAAGCAGTAGTCAATTCAAAGACGAAAAGAATCTTCGAGAAATCACATCTATTCCTTGCATTGCAACCTTGTATAGCAGAGGCAGATAAAAAAAAAAAAACTCCAATACAATAAACATTGGTGTTTTGGGAAAAGCAGGGTAAAGGACTTTGATGCTTTTTAATTTCTTGGCCAAATTTCTTTAATATAGATGGGTTTATTACTGATAGGTTTCTTTCATTCTTTCTTTCTTATTATTAATAAAAGCGATCAAAGAATCCTACTGAAAATCGATCAATCTAATTGGAAAATAGAAGGCTCGTGATTGGAAGGCCCCTAGACTTTAATATCTACAAGGCATGGTCGTATAGAAAAACAACAACAACAACAAAAAATGCTATCTT